TTAAACTTAATTTAATTTTTATTAAACTTAATTTTTATTAAACTTAATTTAATTTTTATTAAACTTAATGCGTTAATTTAATTTTTCATTTTAATCTTGTTTGTTTTGTTATTAGTGAAATGTTTTAAAAAGACCCACCTTGATAAAAAGCATCTTATAAAAGAGAAATTCTTTCTGTGATAAACGTTTGACAAAAAAATCTGCTTTAAAAAAGTTTAATGTGAAACACCTTTAATAAATAACTTTTTTCTGACTTAAAACCAAACTGTATTTTGTTAATAGACACAATGCTTTTCATCTTTTTTTTTTTTTTTAATTATCTTTGCTTCCAACAAGGCTGCAAGCAACCACTAATTAGTGTTAGAAGTTACTGATAGAGAAAAGATAAAGATTGTAGAGCAAGATAACGATTGGCAGATGACTTAAAAGATTGCAAATTATTTAAATCAGGAAAGCAAGATGAAGGAAGCAAATTCCAAAGAACTGATGTTCGAGGAAAAAAACTAGACAAGTAAGAGTTTTTGGAGCACTTAGGAACAGTAACAGAAAAAGGATGAGACTTAATTGAATGACGAGTAACACGAAAATAAATTTTAGTAGATGGCACAAGAGACGCTAGCTCTTTCGAGCAGTGCCCATTATAGTATTTGTAGAAAAGAGAAAGAGAAGCAACATGTTGACGATGAGACAGAGGTTGAACGTTGGCTGCAAGAGCAGGTCCGACTATGTTTACAATGCGTTTTTGCACCTTGTCTAAAAGAGAAAGGGCATCATTAGAAGATTCGCCCCAGATATGGCAACAGTATTCCATACAAGGCCGGATTTGAGATTTTTAGAGATAGAGAATAGAATCCAGAGTAAGAAAGTGACAAGCTCGATAAAGAGATGCAACTTTAGCAGATGCTAATTTTGTAACGGATTTGATATAAGGTTTCCAAGAAAGATCAGAAGTGAGAGTTAATACTAGAAGACTCATGGAGTAAATTACCGTTCATAAATATAGGAAGGTCTAAACTATTGCGATAATGATTGGCCGAGTTTTATCTGAATTAAAGTTCAACAGCCACTTTAAGCCCCATACTGTAGCAGAAGTGAGATCCTTTTCAAGCTCAGATGCCCCCTGCAAGCAATCAGAGGGAGTAGGCTTCTTATCGTGACAAGAATAAATGGTAGTATCATCAGCAAACAATGCTACCTTAGATGTGAGGAAATCTGGAAGATCGTTAATGTAAATTAAAAAGAGTATAGGGCCAAGGATTGAACCTTGAGGAACCCTTGAGGTTACAGAATAAGAAGAAGAGTGCTGTCCATCAAGGAAAACTTTTATACTACGATTGGAAAAGAAGGATTCAATAATCTTAAAGATGTTTCCAGATACACCGTAAGAGAAAGCTTATGTAGAAGACCAGCATGCCAAACTTTATCAAACACTTTAGAAATGTCAAGGCTTTAACCTCTCCAACTTTATCTAATGTGCAATAAAACCTATTGGTTATTACTGTTAGCAAATCAGCCGTAGAAGGAGAAGATTGAAATCCATATTGATGATCAGAAAGTAGGTTATTAGATTCAAGATGAGAGATTAAGTGTTTGTTAATTAAAAATTCAAAAACCTTGCTTATGATAGGAAGAAAACTGATGGGGCGGTAGTTAGACAAATCAGATCACACTTCAGAATTTTTTAAAATAAGGATAACATATGCAGCTTTCCAGCAGGCCGGAAAACAAGACTCTGATAAGCACTTGTTGAATAGTTTTGAAAGGAGAGAAGACAGCTCAGGAGAACACTTCTGCAAGACTATAACAGGTATATTTTCTGCGCCGCAAGCTGTAGAAGAGTCTAAACGGGAAATCACTTTAGATACAGAAGCTGGCGTGATACGAATGTTGAGCAATGGATCAACCTGTTTGACGGCTATATCAGGTAGAACGCAACTAGTGGCATCAAGAGATGATATTGATGAAAAGTTCTTGGCAAACAATTCAGCTTTGTCTTTAGGTGAGGTGACAAAATCTGAACCATACAAAAGAGGTGGAATTACAGATTTGCCCTTATTATTGATACTATTAAAGATTCTCCAGAAGTCACGAGAGCCTAATTTTTGTGATAAAATACGAGATTTCATGATCTGAGAATAGCAGGCTTTGGCATTAGACAAAACCTTTTTACAATGGTTCCTAGCAGTAATAAACAGACGTCTGTTTTCTGGAGAATTGTTTTGCTGATAGATATGGAAGTAATGGTTTCGATTGGCAATTGCAGCAGCACAATGTGAGGAAAACCATGGAGAAGAGTGAGGCTTGACCTGGAATTGTCGAGAGGGAATAAAGGATTCCATGCCAGCCTGAATCCACGAAGTTAAGTAAGAAGCACATTAGTCAACATGAAGACGAAAAATTTCTACCCAGGGGCCATCACAAAGAAAATCACGGAAAGAGTCCCAGTCAGCTTTAAGGTAGTTGTAAGATGTACGATGATAGGGGGATTCTGATGGTAAAGAAGATTGAGATAATAGTTTTAGAGAGACCAAACCATGATCAGAAGCACCTAAGGGTGAATGTGGATAAACTGAGCACTGACTAGGTTCAGAAACAAGACATAAGTCAAGTAGAGAAGGTAAATGATTCGGGTTGTCTGGAAAGCAAGTTGGAAAGTGGACTATTTGAGTTAGGGATTGAGAAAGACAAAAGTTGTAAGCCTTAATGCCTGCAGAGTCACTGACACTAGAGCCAAGCCATTCAGTGTGATGAACATTAAAGTCACCGACAACAACAATATTGGCTGATGGATAAAGAATGAGGGCTTGGTCAATATAATCAGAATTAACATCAAGAAGAGTGCAGTCTTGAGATGAGGGAGAGCGATATTGAACAAAGAGAAAGGTGATAGAGTGAAGTGGTGCTAAACGAAAGCACATAAAAGAGTAGTCTGTGGATTCAAACCTAGTTTCCCGACAAATGGGTGAATTCTTACGAATGTAAATGCCTAGGCCAAGCATGTGACTATTGGAGTCTTTACGAATTAAAGGAAGATAACCATCAACACTAAGATCACAAGATGAGACAGCTGAACTCAAATTAGTCTCACAAAGAGCAAGCAGGTCTGGTGAACTTTGCAAGAGATAAGACTCAACAGAAGAAAAGTTACTTCGAAGACCACGAATATTGGTGAATGATAGGTTTAGCGAACTTGGTGATGACTGTGGTTTTTTGTGTTTTATAGTTTTTGTTACTTTATTCATTTTTAAATTTGTTAAAGAACTTGACTCGAAACATAGATAGTACTCAGTACACTGTCTTATAGCACAAGCAATTGCCTCATTTCCACAAATAAACCCTAAGCCGTAACAAAGGGCTCCAATGCACACCAAAAGTACAAACAGGGACACCATCCATGCACAACATGGCACTGTTAGTACTCTGATATTTTTCAGCTGTTGATGAAATCAGCCTCTCTGAGAGCTACCACAGAGTTCGGGAAACCTGACTACCAGCCGGCCTCAGAACCATAAAACTGAGTTTTAGAGCTGTACCCTCATTTGGAGATAATAGAATGAGTTGCCTAGTCATAAAAACAGAGACAAAAGCAAAACCCATGAATCGAGTCAAGAAGATCCAGCGTTTAACATCCTAAACTGGAAACAATGTATTAAATATACATCTGCGCCAGCCTAATAGATGAAGAAGGGGTGCGAGGCTGGTCAACAGATAGAATCTGTTTACCTCTTAAGTCTTTGCCTAGGAGGCCTTCTACAAGACAGCAGCCTGAGCATTTAACATCTGTCCAAGATGAGTATTTTTATCGAGGCACCATCTCTAGCCTTTACTCAACCAAGAGCCCCAAGGCAGGGGGTGTTTTATGTTGGAGTTTGCATCTCCTAGCCTTTGCCTAAAAAGGCATATCCTACAAGGCAGCAGGACATGAAGCAAATTGTACTGGGTTACATGTTACCAGTAGCAGGATAAACCTGACCAAAAAATCAAAAACACTTATGAAACCATTGCATTTTAAAATGAATGATTAAACGACTTTAAGCCATTATACAAACCACATTCTATAAGAACTAGTTATATGAAAAACATTCTAGTGTTATAATGAACATGATGTTGCTAAAATATTATAATTTAAAAAAATAATTTCCAGCAGCATTATGTTTATTTTATTTGAAGTCTAACAGCTTTAAAACTGCTTTAATGTTTAGAAACGGGAATAGTGTCGAAAAATGAACTTCAGAATAGTGTCAAAGGCCTAATGGTGCAAAAAAAAAGGAATAGTGTCACAAATGAATTTAATGAATAGTGTCGAAAATAAAAAAAAGAAGAGTGTCGCAAATAGCTAATTTCAACTATTGCTTACTCGTTTTGCTTATCATTATAGTATATGGTTTTTACAGAAAAAAAAAGAAAAAAGCAAAGAATAATAAAAGAAAAGATTGCTACCAAACTACAAACCCTCAGTCAATGTAGTAGCACTCCTTTGAGGCAGCAGACAATAAGATTAGTGTATTTACTAAATGCTTTGGCAGCAGTGCATATACCAGGTTTTCGACACTATTCGTTAAACTCCTTTGCGACATTTTTCTTTTTTTTATTTCAACACTATCAATTAAACTCATTTGCGACATATTTGCGACAGAATAAGGATATTCTGTTATTCGACAATCAATAATGCGACAGTTTGCAACATTATTCCTTTTTCACATTTCTACCACACCTTGATGTCTGATTTGTTTTTTTTTATAGAAATGTTCAACCATTTATCTATAAACGTGTTTATTAATAAATAAGAATAATCATAAATAACATATTTTAAAACAAATAAAAATAAATACAAACAACACATTGAAATATAAACAACCTAAATGAAAATAATTAGAAACAATCTTAAAGACATAAAAAAAAACTATAATTAAATAGTTTTAGTTGTTATAAAGTTTATTATTTTTAGATTTAAAACTCTCTCAATATCGACTTTTTATATTTTCAATTTTGTTTTTTAGATCAGCTTTATACCTCTACGCTGATACCAAAAATCTTACATACTAACTCGTGTGTTATACTAAGGGAAATTGAATTCCGAACCTTTTTTTGTCATTCAACAGCAAATGTGAGCGACATGGATTTCACTACTCAAGAAGGATTAAGTTTCAGAGATTTTCATAAAAATTGGAAAAATGTACATTCCTACCAGTTGTCCTGTGGCATTTTAGTAGTATTCTCACCTGTTAAATTATGTCAGCATCATTCATTTTTCAAGTGTTCTGTGAAATACAATGAAACCTATTTACATGTAAAGACTGCAGCAATTAAATATGCAATGGAACCTTGTAAGTGACTTATCTTGTTAGCTGAGGAAATAAAATTTCATTTCATTTTAAGTAAACACAGAAAAAAATGTTTTAAAAGCATCAATATCTGTGTGTTTGTGTGCCCAAGTTTCTTTTAGAAACAAAGTGTGTTTCTGTGTGCACAAATTTGTTTTAAAAATAATGTGTGTTTGTGTAAGCAAGTGAATCGACTTTTTTATGATTCTAAAAAGAAGAAGAAAAAAAGAAGGATCGCAAATAGGTTGTAAGTATGTAATATTCTTAAAAACATCAGAAGGCGTTAAAAACACAATTAATAATTCAATAATTTCTTAAAATTCTATATTAAAATGGTTAAATATATGGGTTGTTGCATCAAAAATTAGTATGCATTTAGTTGCAAAATGATTTTGAAGTTTTTTTAAAAACTTTGTTTTCAAAAGTTTGGATTAGAGCCGACATCTGAAGCTACATCACTCCTATCATAAACGCCTTGAGATACACCACTACCCACCCACTAACAAGATCAATAGGATTGTAAAATATTTGTATTTTCTTTCAGTTAATCTTTCAATATCAAGATCAAATGATGATGGCAAAACAATAAACGTAACTTGTGCATATGCAAATTTTAGAAAACCTATCTTCCTTAACATAACATTTTCACATAATGATTACAGATTGATAAATGATAGTAGAACTTTCCTAATAAATCCAATCATACCTTTGTATAACAGTGGTAGAGATCGATTTAGTTTGCAAAGAACATTATCTATTTTGAATCCACAAATTTTTAACGACACTTTAAGTTGCATCTTGTCTGATGATAAATGTGGGATAGTGTCACGTCAGAATTTTTCCTATTTACAAGGTAGTTTTTTTTTTTTTTTGTCTTTTTTTTATTACACATTAATGTTTAAAATGTTTGTTTTTTTTTAATTTAATTTTGCTTATTTATTTTTTTAATCTTTTTATTCTTTAATTGAGTTTAATTTTTTAAAAACGCTTTTAATTTTAAAACAATTTAGTTATGGTGAGAAGGTTTTTTTTTTTAAATATTATTAGAAGTTAATTTTAACTTTAATTTAATAATCAGCTTAATTTAGTTAAGACTAAGAAGGCTGGTTCAACACCTTCATTTTTATCAGATGGTTTATGGGTAGTTTTAATTGCATTTTTGTTGTTGTTGCTTTTATTCCTTAAAATAAAGTCAAAATGGTACGATGGTATGTGTAAAGGCTCTTTAAAAAAAGTGCAAGGGAAAATTCCGGAGAATTCAATTGCAATTGTCAATGATAAAAACTATGGTATGTATGCTATAAGTCATTTTTATCATGAATTACAATTTTATCATTTATAAAGTTAATTTATATATTAGTTTTATATTTAATCTTATCAATTTTGAAATATTTAATATTAATATTAATTAAAAAAATTTTGTGAAAAAAGAAAAGTTTTTTCCGGACATCTGTCTTACAAAACATTTTTTTCAATTTATAAGCATGATCGCATATTGTTAAGTTGAAGTTAGTCATAATGGAGGAATAAATACTAACTGAATATATAATCATAAATTAATATTAAGAAGTGGCCATATTAACACGCATGCTATTACAACTCAGATTAACTACTTAATGGTCTGTAATTACAATAATAAATATAATGGCTGTGCAGATGACATCATTCTGACACAGGTGTTGATAGATAAAATACTGAATGGTATTTTATGAGAAACTACAATTGTTGCAACTACAATTATAAAGATTGTGAATGCATTTGTAAGTTTCTGCCATGTCATTACATAAGAAACGATAGCTCATGCTAGTTAAATTTAGTCTCAGTAGTCTTTGGTTGTAAGTGAGTCCAGTCTGGCCAAAAACAAATTTACTAGACTAGCATAGAACATTTTAAATTAATTGTTGATCTTTTAAAAGTCTAGGATAGTAGACAGAGCTGCAAGAATCAAGGTGAGGACAAACAAGGAAAATAAACAAAGTACAAAATGTCATAATATTGAGATTGAGAATTGATCTTTTGATCATTCCTACAGCTTTAATAGCGGTGTTATTCTTAGTACTTACAAAATTAAAGTCAAATTACTGTCAATTAAGATCCCTTTATTGACGAGAGAGTTTTTAATATTAATTGAAGTATTGCGATTTTTGTCAACGAGTATATAAATGAATTTTGTATTTGTTGGTCCTAAGGGCGTTGTTGGTCCTCAGGGAAAATTTTGTATTTTAAAAAATAACATTAAAAAAAGTTTGATTATTATTTGTTACATTTAGAAAAAGAAATGTATCATATATCTTCAATAACGAATGTTGAACAAAACATGACATGTTTTGAGCAGAACATAACAAATCCAGAGCAGAAAAACAACGATGTCTTTATATCATACAGTTCCCAGAATCGTGAATGGGTAAAAAATACTCTTTTATTTGAACTGGAAAAACGAAATATTAGTGTTTGCATAGATTTTAGAGATTTTGTTGTTGGGGAATACATATCAAAAAATATCTTAGATGGTATGTATAACAGTCGAAAAACTATTGTTGTTATTTCTTCGGATTATTTAAAGAGCAATTATTGCAAAGAAGAACTTCAAACAGCTTCACAAGGTCATTCTGTTATTTTCATAATGATAGAAAAGTGCAAACTACCTCGTTATTTAAAGCAACAACTCTCAAAAAATCAAGTTTTTGAATGGGACGATAATGAGAGGTTCTGGAAGAACCTTATTCTTGCTATTCGCTCATAACAAATATCTGTAAATATATATATATACAAATGTCTATGTATACATTTTTTATTTTTACTAGTTTTTTGACATGTTTTTCTTATTATTAATTATAATATGTTAAGTTTTGCTGTTAAATTTGGCGAAGATAATATCCTAAAAACTAAACATCACCTGCCTACCTAAAAATCGGATATTTAAATTACAATATTAAACATATTAGGCTAGATAAGGTTTTATTAAAGGATTCAAAATTTAATTGAAAAATTATACTTTTAGAAATTATTAATTAAAAAAAAAAAAAAAACTTTTGTCGTAAAACCAATTTTTCTGATCATTTAGTCGGGCGATATTTATTAAATTTTAGTGTATTTTTGTTCCCATGCTCTTAATAAACGTAAATATTAATTTACGTTTAGCAAATCAATCTAGCATGGCAAAAGCATGAACAAGATATTTTGTATTAATAATATATAATATAATTATACATGACGAATCTGATCACAATAAGTCAGCGAAATATCGCTAATATATAATTAAACCATAGTATATTTATAAATTACTGGTTGTTTACTGAATTTTGTTTTTCAAAAAAATTAAAATCAATTTTAAAGCTGGTTATATAAATGGATTTTTTATTGTATAAACCTTTTTTATTAAAAAATTTTGTAAAATTTTGTTAGAAACCTAAATTTAAATAAATTTATGAGATATTAAAATATTACAAAATATAAAGCGAGTTTGATTTGATAGTGTTTTTATAATATTGTTTTTTAAAGGATTTTAAAATTATTTTATTAGTTGATTTTGTTGTTGATTTACTAGACAAATTAATGACAACTTTAGATGGCGACAGTCTAGTGAGTAACGTCAAGTTAAGATGGATACGACGTTATCTGCAAGAAGAACTTTATTGGTCTATCACTCAACATTTACACAGTTAGAAAAAATTACTTGTAATATTCTCCAAAAATCTTTAATTGGGCTCTTTTTGTTAATGGCGCAACTTTTTTTTTCTTTTTTTACTTCCAGGTAATATTATCTTAAGCTCGTTTGCCAAAAATGTCAAAAAGACGATCTAAACCTTGTCAAGCAAAAAAAGGCTGTATAACCTAATGTCGTTGATCAATTCCGCTGTCAGTTGTCAATCAGACCAAAAGTGATTTTGATCTACTTAAGCTCTCATTAAAAAAAAGTTTTTCAAGACTTCGTAAAAACCTTATTATTTTTTCAGCAACTTAAAACATAAAATAAAGCATTTATTAACTTTTTTGGCCTCCAAAATAAAAAATTGCAGATTTTTTTTTATAAATGTTTTAACTATAAATAAATAACTGTTAATTTAATGTTTCAACTCTTACCTTGTTGTATGTTGTCTTACCTTGAATGTATGTTCTTACACATACATTCAATGAACAAACTTTCCTTAATCTTAAGCTTAAATTTATTGGAGGCCTGGAATCCAATATTGAGTTACAGTCATTATTATAATTATTAAAACAATTATTGTTAGCATGGAGATGTTTTGTATATGTGGCGAGAACTCCTCAAAACCTCAAAACACAAATGATTAAACATTACAGGAGAGACATAACTTCTCCATGGAACACTACAGGAGAGAAAAAACTTCTCCATGGAACACTACAGGAGAGACAAAACTTCTCAGCTAGTTATAAATATTAAAACAACTGTTTTAATAATTATAACTAGCTGAGTTCGGACCCGTAAAAATACGGGTCTTTGTAAGTCTATTTCAAATTAAACTTTTCTAAACGCTGAGGGGTTAAGATTTCCTAAAGTTTTTGTTTTTTAAATCGTTTTTTCTCAAAACAAAAAAAAGTGGAGATAATTAAGACAACAAAATAATTCTAACCTTGTGATAAGCTAAAGACGTTTACACTTACAGACGTTTGTACGTAACCCTATACATAAAAAACTAAGAAGATCTTACAGGCCCTTAGGAACAAAAATTATATTCAGTGCTGGAATAAGTGGCCCCAAAATAATTTTAGGAATTTTTTTTTTAAGTGATTTTTTCAGTCAATTTTTTCAAATTTATTTATTTGAAAAATTATTGAGGGGGCAAATGCTCCTGCTGCCCTCTCCCGGGTTGTTACGGACCTGTCTTAGACCACTAAAACATAGTCATAAAAAAAAGTTCATTCTTAATAAGAATCATAAGAATTTTTAATGATTATCATTAAAAATTAAATAATTATATTAAACGCTTATTTAAAACTTGCGCCAAAAAAACTTACTGGCGCATTGACGTCGGTTTGTGGCAAAATAAACCTTTATGCGTCAAGTTTCTTTTTGCATTTATCTTACATTTTTTGATTAATTTTAATTATGTTGCATACAATTGCATAAAAATATATAAAACTGGTACAGATATATCATTTCACCGATAAGAGATTGTATTTATTACAATAGTAATAAATAAATAGTTTTTGTCTTTATTAAAACATACTATATATACATATATATATATATATATATATATATATATATATATATATATATATATATATATATATATATATATATATATATATATATATATATATATATATATATATATATATATATATATATATATATATATATGTATATATATATATATATATATATATATATATATATATATATATATATATATATATATATATATATATATATGTATATATAGTATGTTTTAATAAAGACAAAAACTATTTATTTATTACTATTGTAATAAATACAATCTCTTATCGGTGAAATGATATATCTGTACCAGTTTTATATATTTTTATGCAATTGTATGTAATATAATTAGTCATGTTTTTAGGAAGGAGCATAACATAAACTAGTATGTATACATACTAGTTTATGTTATGCTCCTTCCTAAAAACATGACTAATTATATTGAAAAATGTAACAAGTAATGAATAAAATATTTATGATTATCTCATGAAATTGTTTAAAAAAAGGGTTCTCGATGACAAGACTTTACACAGTTTTCTGCGAGTTTCCCTTGACTACATAACTAAAGGTTTAATTTCCTTTTTTTAAGACTTTTTTTGCCTTTTCAAAATATAAACTGAAAAACTATTTTACATTATTTTATTTCTTTGTACATCTTAATATTATTTCAGATATTTTCAAAACATTTTGACTGTATTTGTAATAAAAGTATATATTGTTAAAGCTATGTAGTTGTAAAAAATATATGGAAAAAAAAAAAAATATATATATATATATCCCATAAAAATATATTCCATATATCTTTAATAGAAGGAGTTTTTTTAAAAAAAGTTTCAACAAAATCTTATTTTTAGTTTGTTTTTCTAGTTTTTTTGCCACAAAGTTTTCACGTACGCAAAAAAATTGTGGTTTAAAAATTTTGATATTGTTAGTGAAACAATTCAAAAAAAAAAGAGGGTATAAATACACACTTTACAGCTGCTGGAGACTGGTCAAGTCTTTTTATGAAGATGATGAATATAGCCGTATATATTTCATTTATATATTATCAGAAGATTTAACTTTGGTGAGAAACACTTTTAAGGAACGATTGGATACTGCAAATACCATACCTGGAACACGTAGTTACCATCAGTTTGTACCACTTGGCCATCAAAAGGTAAAAAAAAAGTATATTTAACGTACCTTTTATTATCTTTAAAAAATATATATAATTTTTATTGATAAACTCAAATAGATTTTTTATTTGTGTGGAATCATCGTCAAAAATTTTGTTTTATTTTAGACTTTTTATACCTTTAACAAAACACGTTTAATAAAATTAAAAAAAACAGAATAAATGTATGTTGGTTATTTTTTCCAGATAGGCGCAAAGTTATGCAGTGTTGATGAAGATTTTGCTTTCATTCATGAATTTGGAAACATTCCTGTAACAACTGTAAACTTAGTACCAGGTGATTATGCCTGTGTTTCCTATGAGCAAAAGTTGTGGACAATAGTCATAGAAGATATTAACGTAGAAGAAAAACAAGTGCTTGTCAAATTTATGTGTCCAAATGGTCCTGCACGGTTGTTTAAATAGCCACCAGTGGATAGCCAATGCTTGATTCCAGATGTCCACATCATTTGCAAAGTTAAAATACCAACTACAAAAATAGGGCTTTGCTACTATTTAGCCGAAGACGACTTGAAAAAAATTGTTTTCTTTAGGAATTGTTTTCTTTTATATTGAAACTAATTTCAAGGTTGCTGAGTCTGATATGTCTTGTCCATACTTTTTTTTAATCTTTTATTTTTTTTACAATTTATAAATAATGTGAATGAAAAGCATATATAAAATCACTTAAATTGAATATTTATTTTTCAAAAAATTTTTTATACCTAATTTTGTTCTAAAAAATTAATAAAAACAATTAAGTTTCTAAACTGTTAATTTCTAATTTGATTAATTTGTAAAAAGTTAGAAGAGATTGCCTGATTTTTAAAATATCACAAAACTTTGTGTTCATATCAAACCTCAATAACTCCTCAAGTAAACGCAAGGCCAAAAAAAAATTGGTTCGTAAAGTTGATATGACATTTTATCTTTAAAAAAATAAAAATAATTTTTTTTCTATCAGTCACATTTTTTTTATAGCTGTAATTGTCAATGCTCTTTTTTATTGTCATTATCAGGTACATTTTATGAATCCTAGAATAAACTACATTGCCTTGCTTTGAGAGATACAAAACTAAAGTTTTTGGACTTACCAGGTTTTAAGCTCTTTTGGTACCAAGTTTCAGAATCGCAGCATTACTAAAAGCACCATATAAGGGTAGTAATTAAAAAGTAAGTTACGAAGTCTTTACCATCGTCAGAAACACGCAATGCGTTTAACATGTTTCGAAAATCGTTTTTCTCATTCAAATATTTTATTTAAAAACGTTAAAGCACTTAACGTTTACGAACTCAATGTCTATAATATATTATGTTTTATGTTTCGTTGTAAAAGTGAACGACCATTGTCCAATTTCAAAGATCTTTTTACTTATAAAGCTATAAACAAATATGCTTTACGAAATAATAATTTATTAATTGAACCCTTTTGTCAAACAAAGTTTAATCAATTTTGCATAAACTATAGAGCACCGTATTTATGGAACAAAATTGTTGTTCCAAATTTTGATTTGTCGATTTCGTTTTCCGTTTTTAAAACTAAATTAAAAAACTATATTCTTTCTACTGGCAACATATATAAATATTTTTGAAATGTAAAATTCTTTTTTTTTACTCTGGATAATTTGTAAAATTATTTTCAGTTTTTGTTTCTTCTACATTGTTATTAGTTATTTGATCAATTATATTTTAATTTATTATATATACACGTATTATATCTTTTATATGGTTCTGGCGACAAGATCATTTGGATCTTCTTTCAGATACCAAGTTTATATATTGTTATATTGTTATATTACGATTAATAATTGTAAACTGAAAAAAAAAAAAAAAAAAAAAAAAATTAACGGAAACATTTTTGGCACTTTCTCCCCCTCATTTTTCAGTCAAAATCAAACAAACTTCAAATTACTGTCCTAAACGGATACTGTTGAAAGAATAATAGAAGAGAATCATAAAGAATAATAAAAACGTTTCTCTGCATTTTTACGGCGTGAATTGTAATTTTATAAAATATTTTACATTAAACTTTGTAAGCCTGTATATTCTTCCGATTGATGTATAATATATGGAAGTTTACAGGTGTGGTTTAAGAAATAGAATAAAAGTTCAAAGTTATAGCTTTTTCACAAAACAAATGTTCTTTAAAAAATGACAACTTTGAGCATCTTCAGGAAAGCGCCAAATGTCAAACGCCAACAATCTTGCATAATCAGAACTTTTTATATCGGATTTTCGCAAATCTGAAACAAATCACCTTTTTGATTATTTCAAACCACTGTGTGGTTTTATTAACTTTTGATTGTAAATATTTAATATGAGGAAGCCAATATAAATGCTTGTTAACAAGAAGTTAAAGCAGGATTAAAATGAGTTAGAAATTAAAATGAGTTAGCTGACGATGTCTACAGGGCTAAGAAGACTTCCGTATGTATTGACCAAAGACGTTTTAGAATATGTGCGCATATGTTGTGAATAAATGTTGATGATTGCTAATTGTTATAAAATTTTATTGTTATGTTTATGACTATTTTTGTCATAATATTATTAAGCTAATTTATGTGATTTATTATTGCTCGTCATAAGGTATTTTTGTATATAATTACGTCTTCGAGAATTTTTTATATTTACGCTCTCGAGAATAATTTACGTCCTCGAGAATAATTTACACCCTCGAGAATTTTATGCAAAAATATTGTAAATAGAATTTAAAAAGAACAGTGTTAAAAATGTTGAAGTTAAAAATATCGGATAATATTATTATCGGGGTTATTTTTTTTATGAGCAACGTAAAGACTAATTTTTGATATACAAAATGTATTTTCGACCGGTACCGTCCTAGCTATCGCTGATATCAAAGATATCAAGCAAGTTTCAAAAGTATCTTTAAGAGAGCATATGCAGATTGTTACTATGTGTGTGCAGGTTTAAATGCTTTTGGAAACATACAACTTTTCAACCGCATATTAATTGGTACAATAAAATTATATTATAACACAGCATGTGACTCTTATTCTTGGTATTCATTATCTGGCGTATTCAGATATTTGACACTCTAAACAACGATCTATTTAAAAAAAGGAATCTAGACTATTTTTTTAATTTATGGATTACACTATGCTAGATTTTAAATGTTTCTTTTAAATAAAGTTAAACTCAAATATTAAAATTAAATAAAAAAATCGATTATCAAAGTTTATTAATGATATTACTTCTCTCTCACTGTGTATGTGTGTAATATTTATATGTTTTTTGCTACTGTAGAAAATGTAAGCAGTTTAACAATTATTATTTGCTTCTTTATGTATCAAAACTAAATAAATCAATACCATATATGGATGGTTAAGCGCCAAACCTATACAACGAATACGTTTAAACGAGATAATTAGACGCAATGTTTAAAGTCTTTAACAAGAGCCACTAAACCTCAAAAAATTAAAAGTATTTGCATTTATATTTTTAATCATAGTATATTGCTGTTAGCAAAAAAACACTACATAATTCTTTTTTTAACATTTTTTCAACTTTATGGTATTTTCATTTTTTTCAACTTTATTGTATAGGCAGGTTTGGCGCTTAACCATCCATATTATCTTCTAGTTTATATAATTAGGTCTTTATAATAAAATATTTGTAAATTACGATTTAAAAAAAAAATGATGTTTGGTGATAAGACATTATGTCTTCTTCTTGCTCCAGCTATTTATTTTATTGTATATATATTTATATGAATATTGTATTTATAATATATATATATATATATATATATATATATATATATATATATATATATATATATATATATATATATATATAACATCTATTGTATTTTTTATACCCCTAATTGTTAATAATTATATTTTTTTACCCTTAATTGTTCAACCAAAATTTAATGTAAGTATAAATTTTCTAATTTAATACAATATTTTCCTTTTGAGCGTGACATCATTATCAAATAATTTAGCCTTAAATTTCATTTTCAGCCGCATTAAATATATTTCCGAGAAATTATCTTTTCTAAGAAAAACGTCATTGTTTAGCTGACCGGAAATGCCTACTTAGAGTGAGATTTGAACATAATATATAACTACGGAGTTGTTGTAATATAATAATAGTAAATATAAGTAAGTGAACAAAAAAAAAGTAAAGTAAAATAAGTGAACAAGGAACTGAAACAATCCAAAAATGTACGTGGTATTTAAAAAAAGTTTTTGTTTAAAAATCAATTTTTTTAGAAAAATTTTAACATTAAATTTCTAAATTAAATATCTGGCTTTTCAGCTGCATTGTTTATATAAAATATTACTTTAAGGTTCAAAGCATTTTGGTCTGAACTTGGTTTCATGAAAAAGTATTCTTACAATCAAATCACGTGTTTTGCAAAACACATTTATGAGCTAAATTGCATATGTCAGATTATATATATTTATAAGTCCGTAAATAGACGTGTGTGTGTGTGTGTATATATATGTGTGTTTATATGTGTATATACATATGTATATATATATATATATATATATATATATATATATATATAAATATATATATATATATATATATATATATATATATATATATATATATATATATATATAAATATAAATATAAATATATACATATATATATATATATATATATATATATATATATATATATATATATATATATATATATATACATATTAAGTTGTATATATATAAATTTCATATGGTCATTATTTTGTATGGTGAGAGATTATACTATGAAATTTAAAATTTATCGATAAATATAGCTTTAGTTGAAAATTGTAAAAAAAAAATTGTGTCAACTTGTTGCCATTGTTTGGGGTAGTTGTGGCCAAAATTTAGGGCTTTTTTGCTCCCAGACTCCAATCATCGCAATTTTTGCAAGGCATCCTTATTTGACAAAAGCATGAACATATAAATGTTTAGAGTTTGTTCCATGTTTGGAAGTTAGTTATCTCAAGTAACAAAAAAAGCTGGATCCCCCTGATATATATATATATATATATATATATATATATATATATATATATATATATATAATATATATATATATATATATATATATATATATATATATATATATATATATATTATATATATATATATATATAAATATATATATATATATATATATATATATATATATATATATATATATATATATATATATATATATATATATATATATATATATATATATATAAATATATAATTACAGAGTGAGTAAAGGGCATCAGATTTCCCAATTTCTAAAATGTAGGCTCTGTGTTTTTAATGCCAAACAAATATTTTTTCAGATCAAACCATTATATCTCTCAACTTGTCATTACTGATAGGATGATGTGGAGTAGAATTACTTGATGCGATTCCTTTTTGTGTAAGGTAAGATTTTAATTCATTAAATGTGAATAAGGAGCCTCTGTCAGAATGAATGTGAAAATCACAAAGAGAAAATATTTGATCTAAACATTTCACAACCGTTGTTGAACTATCTGGATATGAAATAGCAAATGAATATGGAAAATATTTGTTAATAACCATAAAAAAATAGTTATTTCTAGAACTAGATGGCAATGGTCCTTTAAAGTCTATTATGAGGCAATCTATTTGATGTATAATCATAATTAACTCACTGACATTTTCAGATTGATAAAACTTTGGTTTTAAGTCTGAACAAATATGATAGCTGGAACAAACTTTCTTGGCCTCTTCTGTAGAAAATAGTAAGTTTTTAGATTTAACAAAGTGAAGCATATGAGTAACTTTTGGATGACATTATCGCTTAGATTTATTTGAAGTTGAGTTGTGGCACAAAAGGCACATGTAAGTGCATCAGGAACAATATTGCTTCTAGGGCAATACAATATAGTCTAGCTAAACTCTGCTAACTCCATTCTCCAGCACTGAATCTTTCCTAATGAAATCTTAACTCTCACTTAATTTTTGTTTCCTTTTGGTTATCAAACATGAAAGATAATCAGTGGCTAACTAGAATTGATTTCTTACCAATAAATGCCACCATTTTTGAACTGCTTCAACAAGCCACAGCTTCTATGGCTTGTTGAAGCCACAGAAGCTGTGAAGTAGTTAATGTCCACAACATAAAAACAACTAGGCAATTATTTTGATTTAAGGTAACTAATACTGCTACCTCTGATGCATCACATTCAACAACAAAAGGTAGAACTCGAAGTAGCAGTGTAAAGTAATTGAAACTTTTCAAATGCTTCACCATTGATAGAAAACATTTTGACATTAATGAAAGGTCAAACTTTATTAGCAAAAAAAGGGATCCACTTTGAGTAATAAGAAAACATACCCAATGTTCGGTGAAGTGATAAAGCCTCAGAGGGAGGAGGTAGTAAATCAAAAGGATGTAATTGGTCATCCGGTTGTATATTATTATGACATACATATATTATAGTATATTTTATATATATGTAATAGTATATATTTTATAATATAAAAATAGTATATATTATAGTATACTTTATATTTTATATATTCTGAAACTTTTATATAATTTCGTTTTTTTTGAGATCCAGTATGACATTCTTTTGAAAAACTTTTTCACATTTATAGGGTGGGAACAGACACAAAAAAATATTTTTTTAAAATTTATATATACATATATATATATATATATATATATATATATATATATATATATATATATATATATATATATATATATATATATATATATATATATATATATAAAAGAGTTTTTATAAACTCTTTTAGTATTTGTGTTAATAAGGTATATACAAATATAAGGGAGGTAATCCACTGTTTTAGGGTGGTATATATATATATATATATATATATATATATATATATATATATATATATATATATATATATATATATATTAGGGGAACACCCCTAATATATATATATATATATATATATATATTTATATATATATATATATATATATATATATATATATATATATATATATATATATATATATATATATATATATATATATATATATATATATATATATATATATATATATATATATATATATATATATATATATATATATATATATATATATATATATATATATATATATATATATATATATATATATATATATATATATATATATATATATATATATATATATATATATATTAGGGGTGTTCACATAAACACTGGAAAAAATTTTTTTTCTCTGATCTGAATGCACACTAGTTTATTTGGTTCCAATTGGCATTAAAATTTACTGCGCAAAAGATAATTAAAATAAATTAATGTTTAGAGGTTGCTCAATGGCCTTTTAGTTTTAAAATACTAGCATTACGCCTTTAAATAATTTTCTAATTTTATCCCATGTTCAATTTAGATAAAATATTAAACAAATTTGATTTATTATTGTCTTTTATGAGCTAACTTTTTTGGTCATGTGACAAACAGCCATCTTGTTATCTGATGTTTTTGATTGAAAAACATTTTCATTAATTGTAATTTTTTGCTGAACAACTGAAATATTTAAAGATTTCGAGGTTCTTATTTATTTTAATCCTATAAAATAATAATTAGAGCTGTTATGCCAATATCTTGTTTTTTAGTGCTGTATGTATTGGGTGAAACTTACTTTAGTTTTATTATGTTTATATTTCTTAAGTTGAGTTTAATTTAGTATCATTTAATTTTAGCTTGTTGCTGAAAATGAGTGAAAAGATAAGTTCTTCAAATTTTCCTTTGACATGTAATCGAACTGCAATATGGTTGATTGGTCAACCTGAGAAGAATCTACCAAACAATGTCCTTCCAACAATGGTTGAATAAACTATTTATTTTTAAATTATGTTTTCCACTATCTAAAAGTATTGAAACAAACAGTTCTAGCCAGTACAAAGGCAACTTCTAATAGTTTAGCTCACATCTGGAAAAAGGCCAGAATTCCAATGACTTACCAGCCTCATATTGTATCAAAAGTGAAAGCATATGCTGATGAATATAATTTAATTAAAAAGAATAAAGGAAGAGCTAGTAATTCACAGATTGCTAGAGAAAAAGAATTTGGTATCAAATAAGATTTACTATTTGACATTTCACACAAGGATGCAAACAAGCTAATTAAAATTGATGAAGATAAAATATCTCTGGAAGACCAAAAGAATGGTCGAAGATGAAGATGGCTAGAGAAGATGTAAAATTATCTCAACAAGAAAAGCGAACAGCAAGCAGAAATAAAAAGAAAGCAGAATGAGGAAGAGAGAAGACAACAAGTAAATGCTGTCCTTACCCCTAGCTGTAGCTACTTTAGTCTTGATTGCGATAGTGATAGCAAAGCAAAAGAAGCACTCCTGATGACAATGATGATTATGAAACAGAAATTCCGGTTTATCACAAAAAAACTAGTAACCCAATCAACTGACTGTGAACAAAGTCCTAAAAATAAAAAGCCACATATTCTCAATGAAGTTTTGTCTTCTCCAGATGTATTATCCACACTTGATCGAATCAATTTATCTGACCAAAAATTCACTATATTGGCAGCTGCAATTGCTAGAGCAAGTGGAGTGGACCTCCAAGTACACCATTTTCAAGATTAACAGTCCGCCGCAAACGCATCATGCACCGTTCATCAACTGAAAATCATATTCGACAGAAATTTATTTCAAGTGAGAAACAACATATGGTTGTCCACTGGGATGGTAAGATGATGAAAGACAGCACCAACTATGAAAATCCAAAGTCCAATGTTGATAGGATTGCTATTGATGTGACTGGTCGTAATCTGGAGAAAATACTGGGTATTGTAAAGATATCATCTGGTACTGGACTGGCACAAGCAAAAGCAACCTTCCAGTTACTGACCATATAAAATATTGCAAATTATATTGTTGGTATGTGTTTTGACACAAGAGCGTCAAACAAAGGGTTCCAAAAATGGTGTGTGCATCTTGCTAGAAAAGTTGATGGAGAATAATCTTCTCTACTTTGCTTGCCATCACCATATGCATGAAGTAATTATTGGGGAAATATACTCAGTTTTGCTTGGACCCAGCAGTGGGTCCAACATAGCTTTATTTGAACGATTTCAGAAGTGTTGGTCAAGCATAAATCAAGCCAATTATGTTCCATTAGATGACGCCCATCTTGCTGAACCACAGCTTCAGCAACTTAGATCAGAGGCTGGCTCCTTTCTGCAGCCATTCTTATCAGATGACTCTTTGCAATTACCAAGAGAAGTCTACAAAGAGATGATCGAGCTGTGCCTTTTAATTTTGGGTTTTCCGTTATCAGACTATGCCACCAAGAAGTGCTGGGAGCTTATCACATGGCTAGATGAATGGCTAAAGTCATTTATTGTATAAAGATATACCTTTTAAGAAATAAATTCAAGCTGGCTATGCAAGAACAGAACAACTTGTGCAAATTTTGTATCGTTGCTGCTCATATCTATGTACCAGCATGGATTGCCTGTTCGATTGCAAGTGATGCTCCAGCAAAAGACTTGATGCTCTTCACAAGAATTAAACAATATTCTGAGAATAACAAGGTCATTTCAAATGCTGCTATTAAGAAGCTTCAAAATCACACTTGGTACCTTGGGTCAGAAATGATTCCACTTTCATTATTTTCTGACTTGGTTTGTGACACAGAAAAAAAGTTGATTGTTGAAGCTATAATTCAAAGTGGAGCTGATTGGAGTGACAGGGGTATAAAGTGTCCAGCAGCAGAATTGAACAAGTTGGAAAAGAAGCAACTTTATGAGCTTGTTACATCATCATCAACTGCTGCTTTGCAGTCACTTGGTCTAGATGTAACTATTTTATCAGGAACCTATCCAAAGACATGGGAGAAAATTGCTAAATTTCCTTATAATGAAGCTATTGTTAAATCTGTGAAAGTTATCAATGACACTGCTGAGCGTTCTGTTGCTCTTATGCACATTTAATCAATCCATCACAAAAACTGAATTTAAAATGCAGAAACTAATACAAGTTGTTGACAACAACAGAAAAGGCATTCCAGATTGCCGCAAAAGCATCTTGATGACATATGCCACTGTTGCTACAGACTGTATATATATATATATTTGTGTATATATATATATATATATATATATATATATATATATATATATATATATATATATATATATATGTATATATATATACTTTACTTGGTCATCTTTATGTTACCATAAAATGTAAGCTTTATATAAATATATATATATATTTTTAATTTAATTTAAAAGACCAGAATAAATTTAAGAACTCTGAAAAAAAAATATTTTTAGTTGATAGATCACTTGCCCAAACAAAAACCCATAATCAATGTAGCACCACCCCTTGCCTATTTGTCATTTGATTTAGCAACACTCCTGGCATGTTTTAGCTACTTTTCAGTCAATCTAGCAGTATTCTTTGTGTGAAGCAAACATAGACATTCTTTAAAAAAAAGGCTTTTTACAAAAGCAGCTGCATAATGTAGCTAAATAACTTTAGATTGTTTTGACAGCCCATTTCATGTTGTAATTAATTTTAGATAAGTGTTTTAGTTATTTAGTTTTTAATTACAATTGGTTCAGATTATATTTTTTATTGTTTTTTTTTTTAGGTTGGTCCAGGTTATAATAATAGCATTTCAACTTTTTGGAAAAGGTAAGTTTTTGTTTTCTGAAATTATATTTATTGAAATGTTCATTTTAAATTTTATATTAAACTATTTTTTAATAATTTGTTATTGGGTTTCAACTAGAAAAGTTTTCATAACTTTAGTTACTTGCCAAAATAAAATCTTTGAGATGACAGTAATGAGAGACCCTAAGGTAACCAAGGTAACCCTAAGGCAACACCAAGTCCAAGTAAAGGACACTAAAGGCAATTCACTTTAAACATGACATGTTTGTAGACATGTCTTTGAGATTTAAACAAAATACACTCATGAAATATAAATTATGTAGATAATATTGATGATAAGTGCTGTAAAAAAAAATTATTATTTAGAAAGTGAGTTCAAAAGTTGTAGACTGATGGTGAATAGGGTAACAAAAAACTCCACAATACCACAATAAACCAAAATATATTTTAAAAATGTTACTATTAGGTGACCTTAGAAACATAAAACTATTTTCTATTGCTGTATTTACTAGAAAATAGATAAAAAGGTTTAAATTAAAGAGAGAATGTTTTAAAATGCTGATATTTGGCAAAAAAAAACTAAATAAAAACGTTTTTGAACACAAAGAAACATTTATTGTGTAAGTATGAAGATAAAAAGTCGTATATGAAAATTTTTTGCTTTAATTAAATGTTTTCTTCAATACAATTTACTCAAATAATTTTAAAAAAGTTTTCAAGAATGTTTTGGATAATTATTTTTTTGAAAATAAATGTCCCCCAACAATTTAAACTCTGTAGATATGGCATTACTTTTTAAAATGTTACTTTTTTTTATCATCTTTTATCAATTTTTAACAGTATTGTCTATACTATCCTAGTAGTAGTAGTAGTAGTAGTAGTAATAGTAGTAGTAGTAGTAGTAGTAGTAGTAGTAGTAGTAGTAGTAGTAGTAGTAGTAGTAGTAGTAGTAGTAGTAGTAGTAGTAGTAGTAGTAGTAGTAGTAGTAGTTGCCTACTTGTGGAACTCTTGGCAGCCATTACAACAGAGGTAATGGTGAGATTGAGATGAGATGGTGAGAGATAATTCTGCATTTTATTGTAAACAATAAAATTTATATTACCTACAGTGTTCTTGTAAAAATTTATTGTGAAAATAATTCTTTAGAATATGGATAGTTTTAGTGATTTGTTTATATATTTTTTTATAAGGTACTCATTTTTATGCCTGCTTTTAGAAATTTATTCACATCTCTTATTTATTAAACTTTTTTTTTTTTATCTAAACAGGTTTATTTCAAATTTGTTATTGCAAACATAAAATACATTTTTTGGTAACACTATTAAGGCAGAAGTAGTTTTTAGAAGAGATTTAGCTTGAAATAAATATATTTATTTTTAGATCCTAAACAAATTTTGACAGCATAATATCTTTTGAGTAATTTTTATGTTTAAAAAATTATTTGTGTTTGGCATGTTTTTTCCATTAACCCTTGGTTAAGCCAATCTACTGTTTATCAGGGTTATTTTTTGATGCATTTCTAAATAACATTTTTTGATAAGCATTTGCATTCATTGGATAATCACTTTTTCTTTTGCATTTACAATTACTAGTATTTTTTTTTATTAATTAATTTTTATCAACTAATTTAATATTGTAATCTTTTAAAATTTTTTTCTATATTTTTTGTACAACTAAAGCTTACTTTCTGTTAAAAATTTAACTGCTTTAAACTTCATTTTAAAATTTTGTGCATATTATTATATAGAAGGAAACGCATGTCAACTAATATTATTATATAGAAGGAAACGCATGTCAACTAATATTATTATATAGAAGGAAACGCATGTCAACTAATATTATTATATAGAAGGAAACGCATGTCAACTAATATTATTATATAGAAGGAAACGCATGTCAACTAAGTAAAAAGAAATTTTCTTAAATTTGATGAAATATTTTTGCTGTACAGGGTCTTGAACCAAATTATATTTCTTTTTTGCTTTTTTGCAATTTTCTTTTCAAATTTTATCTCCATATTTTTAAATCTGCTTTTTTAAGAGCATCTTTATAAACAGGTTTAGAAGAGTTAAAAAGATTTTCATTATAAGAGTTTTGATTTAGCCCAATGGCCGTGGCGCTGTGGTTGGAGCACTTGCTTTAAAAGCAGCAGATTCAGGTTCGAAATGAGCTTTGGACATATTTTGCGTCATGTTAAGGAATGAGGCATGAACTTCCTGGTTAAATGCACTTCCACGGTGCTCTGTGACAAGACCGTTAAGACTTCTTGGGCACCTAAATAAAAGATTAAAAAAAAAAAAAAATGAAATAGGAATTTGTTTTAAACTTTAATGGGAATGGTTTAAATTTATATTAATATGCAATAATTTAATTAGGCTTTTTGTAAGATTTATAAGAATTTTCCAATAGATTAAAAGTGGCATCATCTATTTTTGTCATTTAGAGAGATTTATTATAAAACTGTCATTGTCATGTAGACCTAAATGATTAATTTATATTATTTTAGATAAGGAATTTTAAAATAAGCCTAAAAACTTGCAAATTTCTACACCTTTGTAACTTCCCTTTGTTAATAGAAACAGCATAAGTAGATGCTCTTTTTATAGAATATTTGATATATATAAACAGTGCTGTGGCTAGTAAATCGGAGGACTCCATTCTTACCATAACAAAAAAACAACTTTTCTCTCTAGGTATTACTAAAAAAAGTAATAAAGGTCTTTAAATTTGCAAGAGGGGCCCTAAATTTGCAAATAAGTTCCCTAAGTTTACTGAGGCACCCTGAATTGGTGTGTTTGGGATAGCCATGACTCTGTATGTAAATTTTATTTATCTATAATAAACACTGATGTTACTGCATTTGGATTAATTTTGGTAATGCGGTAAATTTCAATAATTAGATAAAAAATTGGGGACGCTTTGTTACAAATACGATATTTAGTTTGGTAATTGCAATTCTGCCATTTTTATAGAGTGAATGACTGAGTGTTATATTTTGAGTTATTTTTTTTGAAAATTTGAGTGCGATTTAATGCAATTTTTTATTATTTTTTATTGCATAATTGAATAAAGTTGTTATTCTGCTAACCGTCAATGCGGTAACGCCTGTGCTTAATCTATAATATATAATCAAATTTTTATTTTTCTAAATTTTTAGGTCACTGTACTCTTGATGAATGTGTTACATATCTAAATCGAGGTTGTTTTTTTAATTATTTTTTAAACTAGATTTTAAAGTTACAAAATTTTTTGAAAAAGTTAACTTAATAATATTGATTCTTTTTTAAAAATCATAAATTAAATACACCATTTGTTGAACCTGATTGTTGTGAATATTTGTTGCAAGGGGTAGGGAGGGGGGAAGTTTAGGCAATTTTACTGAGTTTCTGAGTTTTACTGAGTCAACCTTTCTTAAGTTTTCAATCAGTGTCTATTGCAAAATTTAGCAAAAATAATCTCAATATAATTTAAAAGGTTGGGTAAACTAAGTATAAAGTAAAACTAATATTTTATATTTTTATCAGATAGAGAATTTAAAACCTAATATCAAGTAAAACAGGGGTAATACTAATCCGCAGAAAATGAATCCACGGAAACTTTTGTCATTTGTTGTTGTTAAATTTAATGTAAACCCGCAATTATAATTATGAAACTTAATATTAAGAAACTAACAAATTTTAGCTTATGTTTCCAAAATCAGTAAAATTAAACAAAAAAACAATGACGACCTATTGCAACTAAAGTTGTTTTATGTTAAAAAATTTTTTAAATTAAAATTTTAACAAAGTTACCAATACGACTCATTACTAGAAAGAAAATCATTTTTTCACATTTCATTTTTTAACTGTATCTGATTGCCAACCTTGTTTTATTGCTAAAATAACTCATAAAAAATTTGACGACCCTCCGCGATATATATATTTTTAATTTATTTAACATTTTTAAAAATTTTGAACAAAGTTAAAAATATGGGTCGCGGGGGGTCGTCTTTTTTTTTTTAAATTTTTTTAGCAACAATATAAGGTTGTTTATCAGATACAGTTAAAAAAACTGTGAAAAAATGGTTTTCTTTCTAGTAATAAGTCGTTTTGGTAACTTTTTCAAAATTTTATTGTAAAAAATTTTTAAACATAAAATAACTTTAGTTGCAATAGGTTGTCATTGTTTTTTGTTTAATTTTACTGATTTTGGAAGCATAAGCTACAATTTGTTTGTTTGTTAATATTTAGTTTCATAATTATAATTGCGGGTTTACATTAAATTTAACTTTTTTTACTTTTAAGACTACATATTACTATTGCTAAATGCAGCTCTCAGTTTTAAATGCAGCTCTCAGTTTTAAATGCAGCTCTCTGTTTTGCAGCTTTAAACAGTTTTACTCTCAGTTTTAAACTAGTTTTGTTCATGAGTTTATCATAAGTATCATAAATCAAAAGGAGTGGAGTTAAGTGGAATTTTAGCAGCCAATATTAAACCAATATTAATAAAGTAGTTGTTTAGTTCTTCAGCTATAATATATTTATCATAAACTAATTTTCCATTAGTTGAAAGATTTTTTGACAGAGTGTTTTTTTTTATAACTATTTTCTTCAATTAAATCCTTAATTACATTCCATACTTTTTTAGTGTTTCCGTTGGTTTTTATTAATAACTGGTTATAATGAAGCTTTTTTGGGTATCTTTTTGTTTTTTCAAATACATTTTTGTAATTTTTATTATTTTTAAGTTATTTCATTTTAATAAGATTTATTTTTTAAGATACTTTATATATAATTTTTCTTTCTTTTTTGAAGATTTTAGAATAATTTTAAAATTGTGTATAAGTTCATTTAATAATATTTTTAAATTTTCAAAGTTTTTATTCAAACTCTGAGAATATATATTTAAAATTGAAAAAGTGTTTTAATTTTGTCAAAGATGTTGCAAACATTCAGAAACGGAGTAATATTTGACATTTTTTTTTAACATTTTTTTTATTAATAATTTGATTATCACTGAGAATATCACTTTCATCCGAAAAATTAGTTATAAAATTTTCCTCCATTTTTAAAACAGTTTAATTTAAAATAAGTAATAGTAAAAATATAATTCCGTTAATTAATGACAAATATTATGAAGACGAATTTTTGTTTTTCTTTGCTACCTAATCACAAATAATCAATTTATCATAAGACAGTCTACTGTTTAAAGTTCAATGCCAGCGCACAAAAAAGCACTGACAGGATTTTTAAGTTAGTCTGCGCAATTTCAAAAATTCTTTTTTTTCTGCTATTTAAATTAAAATAAAAATACCGAAAATTATGCTTTGAATAAATACAAGATAAAATAATTAAAAAAAAAACTGGTACAAAAAAGCCTTTTTTCATAAAAGTTGAACAAATGAACAAAAAAGTTTTGTTGCAATTTAAAATAAAACGCTTTTATTTTTGGCAAGCGCTTTTTTATGCGCTCGCCAAAGATTTTGCAGGCGTGTGGGCGAGCGCAAAAAGACTTACGTGCAAAAGTGCTAGCTAAATTGAGAAGATTGATAAGATTTGTATGCAAACTTACCAGCTGCTTGTTCCATTTTCATTTTTTCCCTCAAACTTTTCCTTATTTGAGTTGTTTCAGAACAGAAACAGAACTTGCTCAAAATTGTGAGTTATTTTTAAAATCTAAAAGTTTTATCACTATAGTTCTTGGCTTATTTGATTCTTTTTTTCCAGTTCTATGGGCCCATTCAATCTGAACATTTTTAACAGATAATAACTCTTCAAAAACTTTTTTATCTTAATTTCTCTTTCCTCCCAGCTTTTACCTTTTTTTTCATTAATTCTATCTACTTATAAATTATTACATATTGATCTATCTTCCATCTCCCTCAACCTTTTTTGTATGCATGTAATTTCTGAATTGTGTTCTTTACTGCAAACATATGTTTTCTTAACTTTTTTATCGATTAGTTGTTTATGAATATTTAAGTTATATTCAATTCTTCTTTTTTGACTTTTTCAATCTGCCATTAAATATTTTCAAGTTTCCAGTAATAATATTGATAAAAACTTTTTCCTGTTGTTTTAACATCATTTCGAATTCTTTTTTATAGCCCTCAAACAGTTTTACTATTTCTATTAATGTAACAGCCATATTATATAAAAAATGAATTATTTTCTAATGAAAAATATACTAAAGGTATATATAAAAATATACTAATATTATAGAGTTATAATATTAGTATATTTTAGTTAAATATACTAAAATTATAGAGTTTTTTCTTTAAATTTTTATGCAGCAAAAACACCTCTGTTGTAAAGTTTGCAGCAAAAAAAGTGAAACTTAACTTTAAAAGTGAAACTTAACTTAGAATCAACAACAAATAAAAAAGCATTCAATTTTTTCAGAAAATTAAAAAAAAAAACAGACTCTAGCTTAATAGATCAAGCAACTTAAGAAAAAAGGAATACTCTTACTAAATATAGTTCTTAAAAATTGATGTGGGGTAATTTCTTACCAAAAATTGATGTTGGGTAATTTCTTACCAAAAATTGATGTTGGGTAATTTCTTACATATCATGTTAAGGTACAGTCTTCTCTACAAAGATGTTAAAAGGAATGCTTGCTGTTTTAATTGAACAGTTTAGAAAATTTTTAGGGTAGTCCAGATGGTTACTAGGCTTTTTGAACCCATGCTATTGATGGTTGAAGTCATGATGGAGTGATTATGTTGCTTGCTCAGTAAGTGGTTGTGAAGATCAATAAACTGTGTTATATGAGAAAGACAGCATTTGCTTTGGAGCGACACTCATGTTTAAAAACTCGAGGTAGGAATCCTTGAATTCTTTAACTAAGATATGTTGGTTATCTTGAGGAAACCCCTATCCTCCATTAATTCCCACTTGATAAGTTTATTTGGCTGAGGACTTCTGATCTGAACTAAAGTGTTTCCTAGAGGTTCCTAGAGGTTCCTTCCTAGAGGTTATTTTCTTATTGATAATTCTCCAATAGACCTTTGGAGGTGTCTAAAATTTCTAAGGTGACAAACAAATCAGAAAGATGCTTTTCAACAGACTCAAATTTTTCCATAAAATTTTTTTTAACTACTCGCTGGGGAGCTATTTTGTTAAGTGTTTGTAAGCCCAGTCTGATTTTGAACTTTTAGAAGTTGTTGAGCAGTCAAGGTGGATGTAGCTGCTGGAAAAAGTTTTTTTTGTCTTGATAACCCTGGAAAAATGTTTACATCAACATAGTTTTTCATATTATAAAGTTTTCTTGTTGTAATAAAAAAGTCACTTAAAAAAAGCATATTAAGCATATATGATTAAAAAAAAATATTTTTCACCTTGAGTAACTGGAAGATGCCTTCCTATTCCTTGACTAAGATGCACAATGTCATGGGGTAAAGGAACCTTGCTAGCTATGAAAGAAGCAGCTATTCTTTCTGCTGCAACTTCAAGCAAGTTCTGTTAAAGCATTCCTTTTGTACAATTATGTGTAATCTCTCTTTTAATCAGTGAAAAGCGTTCTGAACAACATTTCTCAACAACTGGCTGTTCTTTTGGCTGGCTGTTTATGTTTTTTGTTCCAATCCGCTGAGGGCTTCCAAACTTGGCTTTTCCCAAAAAAATCATGCAATCACACGGTGGTTGCAGGGCAAACCTTTATGTTTTGGTAGTCAGGCATTGAGTTTTTCAAACAGAGAAAACAGACAGTTTTTCTGTTGTCATCATAATTTTTTGCTTGATTTGGCATTTTAAATAGGTATATGCTTGTATTTTGTTCAAAAGGCGCAATGAAGCTGTTTGCAGGCCTTTCCCAAATTTTAAAATCAATAAATGCCCTAAACTAGGAACTCTTGCTTAAACAAGTTGCTTATCTTTTTTAGTATGTGACAAAAATATACAATTTTTATGTAAAAAATGATTTAATTTATTTGATTAATAATTTTTAATAGGCCAAAAAAAAAAATTTTTTTAATTAATTTTTTTTTTACGGACAATGATATGTCCGTAAAAGAAAAATTTCAAAACCAACTCTAATGTACTCCTACCTACTTGTACTATCATACCGATCAAAGGTTTTTCTTGGAAAAGGGGTTTGAATTAAAAGTCATTTTCTGACACAGTGAAATCAAGTATTTAAGATGGTCTTTAAATCATTGGGGTCTGGAAGTAGATTGTTGCCTTGTCAAAGCAGTCTTTCTCTTATATTGTTTTGCTCCATTATTATTTAAATAATAATATATTAAAATATAAAATATTAATTACTTTATTATTTTTTTTACTATTTACTTCAAAAAAATAAATTGTTCCCATACTTTGACTAAATTGACTTAGTCAATTTCAAAAATATTGTCATTTTTAGTCAACTTTAAAAAACAGATTAGTCGATTTAGTTTATTGTTGAATTATTTAGTAGACATAATTTTAATTATTTAATAGTCGTAACAACACTAGAATATAGTAGATGGCATTAACCATATCAAACAATTAACAATAGATTTGCAAAACAAGAAAACAAAACATAATAAATTTAAATATGACATCTTTTTTGAACCTTTTTTCAAATTACTCCTAAACAATATAAGTTGTTAAACAACAAAAGTTAAAAATAAACAATATAAGTTGTTAAAGAACATAAGTTTTTAGTTAAAAAGAAGTTAAAAATAAATTCCCGATCTTAGCTCTCTAGAAAAATCAACTGGAAAAAAACTTTTTTATTATATATGAAATACAATAAATAACCAATTATACATTTTTTTATAATTATTATACTAAGTTTAGTTTAATAACTCTTTTTTTATATATTATATAAATGTGGTAGTGGTGTAGTGGTAGAGCGCTCGCTTCATAAGCGAGAGGTTCCGAGTTCGATTCCCACCATGATATTACCGCGCTCAACTTGTTTCTCCCTGAAGCGGCTTTGTTCATCTAGGTTTGTGTTTCAGAGATTGAAATTTTCAAAGTTGAAAGATGGTTTTAACCACAAGTAGCCTCCTCATCTGTAGTGGCCTTCTCAGCCTTGGGAAGGTGAATTTAAAAAAAAAATACTTTACAACATTATGTAAAAACAAATGAATAAGTGGTAAAATAAATTGAATAAAAAATATTCCACTTATTTACTATGAAGAAGTATTCTATTAAAGATAATGTTATCTTTATCAATACTGCTTTGCAATTACAACAAAATATGATTTATGTTATTGGAATAGGTGGCGCAACTTGACATAAAATTTAATTCTTTATAAATATAAGGAGTGAACCAAATTATTTAATTGAATAACTACATTTGAATAATAGTGTTTTACTTATAAATGTACAATACTTTCCCAGTCATAATGTAAATGCAGTATTCTTGATGACACCAAATAAAAAAAGTTTACATGTTGCACACCCATGAAACTGTCTTATATATATTATGTTTATCATACACTGTCTCATCAATATTAAAACCAATTCTCTCTCTTATACACAGCTCATCAATGCTAAAATTCTCCTGAAACAACAAATGCAATGATAATGAAAACAATTCACTGATAATAAAAAAACAATCTACAACATCTCTCTGTTGTTACCAGTTAAATATTTTTGTTATATTAAGTTGTCATCTGCAACCAAACCACAGGAGTACATTATAAATATTATCCAATGAATTTGTAGATAACATCTTTTGTATTAGCTTTGAACACAAGTGCTGTTAAAAAGTAGTTAAAAAATTTCTAAATAATTGTTATCGATTATTTATTAATTTTGCATTATTTTCACACCCTGAAGTTGATTAAGCAGCTTCTGGGTTCATGCAAAAAAACTGTAAAATTTTGCTAACATTTCTAACAAACTACAATACTTATAATAATGCTAGTGCAACAAAATCGCTATTTGTAAAAATCATTGAAACCAAGCCAAGTAAAATTCTTTTTAGTATAATTTTTTCATGGCTGATTTTTTTTTAATGTAGATTAGACCAACAACTATGATCTGGCATAAAAAATCCATGTAGCCATGTTGGCTTTAAGAGTTATGGCCTCTAAATGTTTTTTACAATACCTTTAGACTGACTTTACAATACCTTTAGACTGATTTTTAGACAGACATTTTTTGAATTTTCCTTTTTCATTTTTTTAATAAAATTTGTTGCTGGCTATCATAATCGGATTAACAAAATATGGAACAAAAAATGGAAACAAGTAATATTTCGGTTGTTGCTTCTAAAAGTATAACATAAAATAAAATAAGAAAGTCTAATAAAAATATTCAAAATTTTAAGGTACCATATTTAGAACAAAACAGTTTGTATTAGTCATTGCATTTGTTATACATTTGTTATTTGGGGTGCGGAGTCGTAAAAAAAAAAAAGTAACAACTCTTACTCCGAATCAACAATTGGTGAAATTTTTAGAGTACGACTCCGACTCCAACTCCAACTTCTAATCCAAAGCAAAATTTTTTAAAATTTTTTTGAATTCTTTGAAAAGTAATATGAAATAATTTAAAAAGATTTTTTTTGCCAAATCTATGAAAAATCCTTTGAAGGTTAAATACTTTGTACATGCATGTGCAATATTGAGAAGTTTTATTATTGAAGTTGCAGTTGCAATTTTGTTTAGCTCCGCTTAAAATGTTGCAACTCCATGACTCCATGACTTTGACTCCGACTCCATAACCCTGTATTATACAATGAAAAAAGAATGGATTTGAAAAAAGAATAACTTACTTCTTGCATTTGGCATGTGTTCTCATTATTTGACTACTGGGTGAAAATATCATTGCAGGTGAGTTTCTTTTTGATTGGAGTTCAATACAAAGTGAACTAAACGGTAAAGACAGTGAATTACAGTGAAGGTTTTATAATATAACTTTATATATATAACTTTATAAAATGCATATTCAAAAGTAAATAACTATTTCCTTAGATAGCTGCAGATAATGTTTTTTGGGAAATTAGTTATAAACTTCAAAGTTCAATTGGCAAATTAAAATAAGAATAATGAACTCAATAAAGCCAAAAAAATAATATCACATTGAGTTTTTTGCAGTTCATGTTACACTTTGTTACAGAAAATGAGAAAAAATGATTCACCAGTTGTAAAGACCAAATTTGTTTAGGCTGTATGAACTGGAGATTAGAAAAAATTCTACTGAAGAATAAACTCTAACTTGATATATTTGAAGCAGAGTTTCAAGAAGCTCAAAAAATACTTCCAAAAATTTAACCAATATTTAAAAACAACTTTTTTAGCCTAGTTGAGTTTTTAAATTTTGATCTAAACTTAAACTAAAAGAAACTGAGTACTTCCCTAAAGTTTTAAGAGATGCCTGTCGAGTTGCTTGTTCTCAAGTAAGTGTTGAGTTACTGTTTTCTATTTTTAAAAACATGACATCAGACCATTGTAGTTATTTTACATCTGATTTAACTGACCATTGGTTTTTCTTTCACATGAATGACTTTTTTATTTGAATGTTAAAATCGTTTTTTGATGAAGTATTTATTAGATTTTTTTCATAGCTTTATTATTTAACTTGTAGTTTATGAAGGTAATGTTAAAATAAATTTATAAATCATTTAACTTTTGCCATATATTGTTTTTTTTGCCATATATTGTTTTGTTGCAATATATTGTTTTGTTACAATATATTGTTTTGTTACAATATATTGTTTTGTTACAATATATCGTTTTGTTACAATATATTCTTTTGATGTAATATATTGTTTTGTTACAATATATTCTTTTGATGCAATATATTGTTTTGTTACAATATGTTGTTTTGTTACAATATATTGTTTTGTTACAATATATTGTTTTGTTACAATATATTGTTTTGTTGCAATATATTATTTTGTTACAATATATTGTTTTGTTACAATGTATTGTCTTGTTACAATATATTTTTTTGTTACAATATATTGTTTTGTTACAATATATTGTTTTAATGCAATATATTGTTTTGTTACAATATATTATTTTGGTGCAATATATTGTTTTGTTACAATATATTCTTTTGATGCAATATATTGTTTTGTTACAATATATTGTTTTGTTATAATATTTTGTTTTGATGCAATATATTTTTTTGTTACAATATATTGTTTTGTTACAATATATTGCTTTGTTACAATATATTGTTTTGTTGCAATATATTGTTTTTTTGCCATATATTGTTTTTTTGCAGTATATTGTTTTGTTGTAACATATTGTTTTGTTGCAATATATTATTTTGTTTCAATATATTGTTTTTGTTACAATATATTCTTATGATGCAATATATTGTTTTGATGCAATATATTGCTTTGTTGCAATATATTGTTTTGTTGCCATATATTGTTTTGTTGCAAGATATTGTTTTGTTGCAAAATATTGTTTTGTTGCAATATATTGTTTTGTTACAGAAATATTGTTTTGTTGCAATATATTGCTTTGTTACAATATATTATTTTGATGCAATATATATTGTTTTGCTGCAATATATATTGTTTTGTTGCAATATATTGTTTTGTTGCAATATATTATTTTGTTACAGTATTGTTTTGTTGCAATATATTGTTTTGTTACAATATATTATTTTGATGCAATATATTGCTTTGTTGCAATATATTCTTTTGTTGCAATCTTATAACTTATAAAACCTACTTTAAAATAAAATTATACAGCATAATGTTTTTTGAAGTTCTGAAAAAAGTTTTTTGAAGTAAGTTCTGAAAAGGTTTTTAAAAGTTATTTAAAAGACTAAAAAATAAATATGCGGAGATACTTTACAATACTTGTGTAATTGTGTACTAATTTTTCAGTTAATTTTTTGAGTATTTTATACATTTTTAAGATTAAAAAATATATATATATTACTTAATTTTGTAATTTTGATAAAATTAATGTACTTATTGTATTTTTGATAAAAAGTATTGTACCATTATGTATTTATGTAAGCAAATTTTTTTGTGAGAGCAAGAGCTAGAAATATTTATTTAGTTAAAAGCATTTAAAAGAATTTTTCAAAGATTTTTTGAAGACTTACCTTGAAATTTACTTTAAACTTACTTTTATGTCATCAGCATTCATTTCCAAATAAGTTTATGATCTTAGCACATAGTAGCAAAATAAATATATTTACATCTTATATATCTGGAATGTCTAATAATATTTATAACTCCTTTGAATATTTGCATGGAATTTATGAAGCAAAAAACATATTTTTGTCATTTTTAAAGCTAACAATTTGAAATTTTCAGTTAATATATAAATACCCTGGCCTTCTATAATTACTATTGTAATGTATGCTGTCATCATGCCTATAATGAGCACACTAAGGTCAGAGAAACAACAAGTGACAGTTTGTTATGTTACATTAATGATTGAATCATCATTCACATATAGAACACCAATAACACATAGCATAATATAATTTACACATAAATTTTAACATAACACATGTTGCATAGCAATTTTTTTGGCATGCAATCATTGCATGCAATGATCCATGGTTGATTAGTTAATAAAATTAGCAAAACCACAAAACCATGGACACCAATTTAAAAGTACCTAGACATATTTATTAGGTGCATATGGTACCACAAATAGTTCAACAAATTTTAACTAACTTTGTAAGGAAATTTAGCAGCAGAAATTCCAATTTCAACAACAGAAGCCTGATTAAAATTTATTTTATATTCTGTTTTATATTTGTTTTCCGATTGATTTTTTTATTTGCTATATTATTGAAGTTACATTATATGAATGTATATACCATGGTATTTTATTGTGTAGGTATATACCATGGTGTTTTATCGTGCGGATTTTTAATTTTTTATGGTGAATCAAAATTTGATATTTTTTATTTGATATACCTTTAGTATTTTTTAACCACAGTTTAAATATTTTAAACTAAAATCAATACTTAATGAGAAAAACATAGTTAACACAAAAACATAATTAACACGGAAACAAGTACGAAACAAGTACTGAAACAAGTGACAGCAGAAATGACAGCAGAAAAAAGAAAATTTTTAATTTTTAATTTTTAATGACTATGAATAGTTTCCAGGATTTAAATTACATTTTAAACTTTTTTTTCAATTTGATAAACATTTAATAATTTTTTGTACATAGTTTAACATATAACACATGTTGTATAACAAAATTTTAAAATATTTTAGCAGTTTAAAGGTACATTTAGACTAATTTCCAGAAAAGCACACCAAAGACACATGACCTAATATGTGGCATGTTTTTCGCATTTATATCCCTTTATTTTTAGACCTAATGTTAAAATTTATTTTGAAAACACACTTCCTTGTTTTCTTTGACTTCCTGTTTGATTAAATAACAAAATCAGCAAGGACATCAGACCAAGGACACATAGTTATAATTACTAAATTATTCAATTATTCTGTGCATACGGCACAACAGAACATACATCAACATGAAAAGTTTGAATAATATCGGTTCAACATGAAATGTTTGAATATCAGTTCAACATGAAAAGTTTGAATAATATCGGTTCAACATGAAAAGTTTGAATATTGGTTCAACATGAAAAGTTTGAATATTGGTTTTAAACCAAGATTTTAAAGAACAATAAGTTTTCTTAAATATTTAATACTTAAACTGTTTTAAATGAACCTTTTTAATACTTATACTGTTTTAACTGAACCTTTTTAAAAAGTATTTTAAAAAGTAATATTATAAAGGGTTAAAGTCCTTAAAAATAGCAATCAACCAAATATATACTCAAAAAACTATTTTAAGCATGCAAGTTTTTACAAATTTTTCCAGTTAAAGTAAATATATTTCAAATTATTATCATGAGTACAACAATTAGTATGAAATTATATAAATGAATATAATATATCATTTTAGTTATAAAAAGATAGTATGATAAAAGTTACAAAAGAAGTTTAAACATTCTTCTGGAAAATTCTTTTTTCTCTTTTGACTTTTTTGACTTTTGACTCATAAAAAAAATAAAAACGTTTCTTAAGCAGAGTAATCTTCTAATTACATCTTCATTTATGTTCTAAAAAGAATATCAAAGAACAGTTACAGTTAATTAATCCAACTTTGCTGAATGGTTCATGCTGAAAAGTATGAGTAATAAAAGTGTCATGTTGCGCATGGATGGTGTCCCTGTTTATCCTTTTAGTGCGCATTGTCCAGACCCTATAAGAACCCCTAAATTACAACTTTTGGTTAATTATTAGGACTAAGATAACTGCATAATTCATTGCTTGAGAGTCTGTGATCTATCTAAGAATAAGTCAAGTTCTCTTTAAACTTAATTGCCAGAAGCAACCCAAAATAGTAAACACAAAAAAGTATTTTAACACATGTTTTCAAATATTTGTGGCCTGCAAAATAAATTTCCATCAGTCAAAACTCATGTCTTGCAAAATTCAACAGACCTTATATCTTAGTGTTAATGGGTGCTATCTTTTAATTCACAAAGACTCCAATAGTCACATACTTGGCTTGGGGGTATACTCATGCATCAATTCACGTATTGGTCAAAAAATCAGGTTTTAATCTTTTGACCATTCTTTTATGAAATTCCGCTTAGCACCTCTTCACTTTATTACCTTTTTTATTGTTCTCTATTGTTCTCCTTCACAAGACTGCACTCTTTTAGATGTAATTTCTGATCAAATTGATCATGTCCTTTCTCTTTACCCTTCTTCCAATATTGTTGTTGTTCATCACACTGAATGACTTGGCTCTAATGTCACTGACCCTGCTGAAACTAAAACCTATAACTTCTGCATTTTACAATCTCTTACTCAGTTAGTTAACTTTGTGACTTGTTTTCCTGACAACCTTAATCATTTACTCTCACTCCTTGATTTATTTCTTGTTTCTGATCCTAGCTTGAGTTTATTTTCTCCTTTTTTTCTCTTAGGTGGTTCTGACCGTGCAATCATCTTTAAGTTTTTCATCTTATACTTCCTTTTTGATCTCACCCTATCACCGCACTACTTACTACTACCCTAAGCTGATTAGGATTTTTTTTGTGATAATGGTCCTTGGGCTGATGTAGATTCAGGCAGAAATGTAAGCTTTTATTCGATCTTGTCGGTTTCAAGCCAAGCCCCTTGTTTTCACTTTTTTATGCAGTTGTTATATCTAATCAAAATCATTTTTTTCATCTTTTTCAAAAGAATAACTTTTTTGAGAACAAATGGCTATTTATTATAGCAAAAGTCGATAACACCTCAAAAGTTAGACTCCAAAGACATTCAGAAAATCTCCTATAGTGTTATTAACAGGGGTATTTCTAATGTTCCATCTCTCATTCATGGGAAAAGATTACCGATCTTATTGCCATTCCAAGGATAAGGCAGAACTATTTGCAAAAAACTTTTCTTTTAATTCGACTCTTGAATTGAATGGCCATTCACTTCTATTCCAATTAAACAGGTTAACTCATTGTTAGACATTCAAATCACTCCAGCACCCATTGCTAATGTCATATCTCAATTAAACTCTTCCACAACGTATGGTTGAGACAGCATTTCTGTCATAGTCTTAAAAAATTGTTCTCCAGAGATTTTTTCAATTCTTTCTGAACTGTTTGATAAATGCTTGACTAAGCATCTGTTGTTCCATTTTTCAAAAACTCCGAAGAACATTCTTACCCATCCAATTATTGTCTAACCAGTCTTCTGTTATTAGCAAGGTCTTTGATCAACAAATTTCTCACATCCGATCTTGAATGAAATAATTTACTGTCAGACAATCAATACAGTTTTCAATCCTCTCTCTCTCTCTCTCGCTGACTTGCTATAACTGCTATGACTGAACTATTTTAGAGTGCATTAGATGGAGGCATAGCTAAAGCTTTCAACAAAGTTTGGCATGCTGATTTTCTCCATAGCTTGCTTCAAATGGTGTATCTGGGAGAGTTTTTAAGATTATCATATTGTTTTTTATAACCATTTTATCAAAGTCATCCTCAAAGGTCAACACTCTTTTTTATTTCCAGTAACTTCTGGGGTAAATCTCTATCCTTGGTTCTGTTTTTTTTCTAATCTACATTAAAGATCTTTGTGACAACCTTACATCTAAAGTAGCTTTTTTTGCTGATGACTCAACTTTATACCCCTGTCTTGACAAAAAGTTTTCTATTTTTGGTTGCTTAGAACAGAGAGCCAATCTTGGATCTGATCTCATTTCTGTAAAAGATTAAGGCTTGCAGTGGTTTGCGATTTTAAACTCCAACAAAACTCAGTTATTTACTGCAAACAGTAAATAACTGAGTTTTGTTGGAGTGAATGAAATGCTCACAATATTGTGAATGCTATCACAATATTGTGAGCATTTCTGTATTAATGAATGACAACCCTCTCACTGAGTCCTCTTCTTTATGTCTCTTGAATTATCGTTCACTATTGACCTTACATGGAAACAATATATACAATCAGTTGCCATGGAAACAATCAGTTGATAAGCTTCTGCTAAGGTTGCTACTCTTTAATGTGCTTGTCATTTTTTCTTTATCGTCTCTACTCCCTGTATGTATGTAATCCCTGTATGGAATACTGTTATCATTTTTGGGCTGGTTCTAATAATGGTTCTCTTTCTCTTTTAGACAAGGTCCACAAATGCATTGTAAATGTAGTTGGTTATCTGCTAAGCTTGAGCTTATCTCCTATCGTCTTAAAGTTGCATCTCTTTCTCTTTTCTACAAATGTTATCATGGTCAATGTTCAAAGAAGCTATCATCCTTAGTTCTATCAACTGAAACTCATTCTTGCTTGACTTGTCAAGTCTTATTCTTTTACTGCATCTGTCCTTGCATGCTCTAAAAACTTTTATTTGTCTAGTTTTTTTCCGCTCACGTCAATCCTTTGGAACTCTCTCCCATCTTCACTCATACAACTTACAACTTTAAGTCTTCTGTCAATTGTTTCCTTGCTTTATAATTCTATTCTTTTTTTTCTTTCTAGATTTAACAATCTAGAAAAAAAAAAGTAATTATTTCATTTGAGTTTAATGGTCAGTAAATTACAACATACTAAGTTTTATTTCAATGTTAAAAATATACTTAACTTTTTTTTGGCAACTCTATAATTGGTAAGATAATTTCATGTGCTTTTATTTTATTTATAGAAAACCTTTCATTCATTATTATTTTTATTATTTAGTTCTAAAATAACTAAAATAGTTTTAAAGACTACCAATTTTATCAAGCATTTTTAAAAGGACGTCATCTGATTTTATTTTTAAAAGGACGTCTTCTGATTTTATTTTTAAAAGGACGTCATCTGATTTTATTTTTAAAAGGACGTCATCTAATTTTATTTTTAAAAGGATGTCATCTGATTTTATTTTTAAAAGGACGTCATCTGATTTTATTTTTAAAAGGACGTCATCTGATTTTATTTTAGCAAATTTAGTTTTTTTATGATTCTGTTATACATTACAACATTTTAATTTTCTTACTTTTTTTTTATTATTTTGTTATAATTTAAAAAAAAAAAATTATTAATTTTATTTATTTAATTCAATTCATTTACAACTAAATTTTGTTTAAGCTTTAATTTTATTTCAATACTGTGATTATATTTAATTCTATTTCAATACTTTGATTATAAGTTAATTACTTTAACTTTCTAAATTAAGACTAAAAAAAAATTTTTTTTTTTTCATTATTTAAATTTTTTGAATCCATTAAATTAAACCAGCATACTTTTGAATGTTTTAGAAATAAAATTAAAGAAATTTTAAGTATTCTTAAAATAGCTAATTACATATCCTTACTTAGCATTTATAGTTAACATGATTATAAGTCTTGCTGACTTATATCTTTTTACTGGTGAACCATTTAAAGATAGCACCAAATTTCACCAAATTTTTAAATGTGTTAAAAGTGTTGTGTTAGTAGACTCAAGCATCACATAGATATAAAATCTTTTTTGTAAAATTAATTTTTTTGTATGCAAAATTTTACAAAATTGTAAATTGTTTACACTAGTTTTCTTTCAATTTTTTGTTTTACACTATAACATGATAAAAGTTTGTTTTTATTTTTAAATTTTACAGAAAATCTAACTCAACCAGATGTTGTCAGAAGAAATGCAGAAGCCTGTTGTCCTTATTTAAGAGGTTAGTTTTGAAGAGGTTTTATGTATTTTATTATAAATATATATATGTATATATATGCACATGTATATATTTAGAGCCGG